AGATTTGTTCCAAGCATTCAACAACTTCTCCATTTCAAACAATGCATAATTCTTTTTTTGAGAATCATTGAGAATTAGATCTAAAAATAAAAACAAAATTGTAAGATATTATAGACAAAAAATGGATACGTACATATGAGATAATAATTAGTTATTACCTGAAGTTGAGATGTTTCTTCTACACGTAAATTCAGCATCATCTGATAAGTAATGCCAGATCACCTCCCACACATCTTCTGGCTTTGACATTACATTCGATGTCAATAGTGTAACAAACAATTTTCTTAAGGAATGTGCCGAAGACCAAACTGCTGCCTCACTGATTGCATCGACATACTCTTTATCATCTTCAATTAAACCACGTGCATAACATGCATCTCTAAATGAATTATATTGTACGCCATCCACTTTTTTAATATCATCAAATGACGTTGGTCCTCGAACAATGTTAAGTAAACATCTCAAATAAAAGATTTCACCACTATTTGGGGGCACATAAAAGATTCGACCAATTGCCCAATTCCTCTGCCTTGGATGCCATTCCCTTTTATCTTTTTTCCAAACAAATTTAGTGGGCATCTGTGAATATGTCAACTGCCGCGCCTCTGCATAACTTTTATTCGCCTCTAGCCATGCAGTGAACATGCTTTGTGCTACCGTTGGCCGATTTACAACATCATCCACCAAATCATCATCGTGAAATATTACTGAATGCTCATTTGGAAGATGGAAACTCAAACGCTCAACAGATGGATTCCTAAATTGTATGTCAAATGCAAATATCCTCCAAGCAGCCTCACAGGGCGAAATATATCTACAGTCATAGTACATCTTGATTTCATCTATAACCTTTCCCGTAGATTCTTCCACCGCACTATTGTAAAATTCAGCTGTGACCCTGTCATTACCCTTGTTGACGTACTTGAATAAGTACTTTATTGATCTAGATTGGTTGCACCACTCGACATTAATATGAGCTTTGTACTTCATCAGCAAATGTCTATTGTGTGGAACTACATATCTACTATCAAGGGCAATTCCATTTTTCCTTATTGTACGACCATTATCTCTACGGCGATATATCGGATATCCATCAAAATCCACTGTAGAGCTTTCAACAAATTTTTTGGGGTAGAATTTAGAGCACTTACCATTGACCATGCAAGGTGAATTCTTCCTCGCTGCACCACATGGACCATGCATCATAAATTCTTCCACAGCTTTGTAATATTCTGGATCGCACAATTCACTTGGGATCTCAGCAGATATTATCATATCAATGTCTTTTGCAGTAGGATAAGAGTTGCTCTTTGCCAAGAATATCAAAATGTGAGCATGTGGCAATCCCCTTTTTTGAAATTCAATTGTGTAAATTACTGCAGATTGAAACATAGAAAACTTATAATTCAAATATGCTTAATATGGTTAACAAACAAAATTTTGTAATTAAATAGAACAAAGTACCTGCATCAACAACTCCAAAAATGTTTTCTTTCTGGATCTCTTTTATCAGTGCGTTTAATTTCATTTTAAACACACGGCAAATAATATCTGGTCTATCTTCAGATTTGAGATTCCTTGGTTGTAAAAACCTTTCAATCTCAGGCCACTTGGGATTACATGTGAATGTAATAAATAGACTTGGATAACCAATCCATCTACAAATTGCCATTGCATCTTGATAATTCTGCACCATATATCTTGCTCCTCCTGTAAAACTCGATGGCAAAATGATACGCTTTCCTTGGGCTGTAGGATCTACTTCACCACGTGTTAACGCATCTGTCAAACATTTATATGATTCACATCGCAGTGACGTTTGATGAGTCCTAATATAAACCAAGCGTCCGGATTCTATCATGGTATAAGCATCTACCAAATATTGCTGAAACAACCTTCTAGAATAAAGCAATGTTGACATTTCGTTGAACCTATCTTGCAAACGGAATGAAAAATACTCCCTGGGACTAAGTTTACTTCTTGCATTCGAACTCTGACCTGCAACATTGTTAAACTGTATGTCTTCTCTGTAACCGTCTTCACCATAAGGAAAGAGTAATGGGTATTGCAATGGTAGATAAGATGGATGTAATTCAGTTATTCTCTGAAAATGACCAGCTTTAGATTCCACCAAAATATCTCTTTCCCCCATTGTTGGATCTAAATCACCAACAATCAGAGCAGCCACTTCTCCAACCTGTGGCAAGTTATATGTCCTTGCATCTTTGTTCCTCCTTCCGATGAGTTTTATTTTAATATCTCTTCTAGGATTACTTTCCATCTCCATTTTGGCCATGCGAAAACTCTTGACCAAAACATTATTCTCATCTAATGCATCCTTAATGTCTTTAACAATTTCACAATGCAATGTAGTCGTAGAATCATCATCCCTGTTTAAAAAAAACAAAATCAATAAATTTAGTTGAATTGCTGCAAATACATGCTCATGATCATTTAAAGTAATGTATGTCTGATCGTAACTTACCCAAGTGCACTTAGACGATTGTTGATCTCATTCTCAGTATCATAAATATACAATTGAGCAAACTTTGGACGATCTCCAGGTACTGGTAGCAAGCTGCCCATTAAGTGAAAATTTTGACCATGTAGTCTAAAGACTGGTGGTGCACTACCATTGTTAATTGCTCTGTCAATTTTGCCACCCATGGAAGTAAAGCAAAACATATTGTTAAAGGACCGAATATTTTTCAAGAAATGTGAACTCTTTTGATCTTGGTTAAAGAACAATTGCACTATTGCAGGAGGTGGACAATATGTAGGTGCCAACTTGATCTTTCCATGACTGCAACATAGTGAATATTTTGGATTCCGAACACCGGATGATTTATTAACGCGCTCCTCTAACCAAAACATAGCTCCACAGTGCTGACAGGAATACATTTGATCACCAACATCACCGTAATAATCTATAGACCAAAAGTAAGTGTTAGTATGAAACTCAAATATTTTATCTAATTAATAGTATATTACCCACCAGTACGAATTGTCAACTTTGAGGTAGTATCATGGACCGCGTTATCAAAATCTGCAATCAATCGACGTTGCATTTCCATATTTTGCGACAACCCGCATTGATCCACAACGCATGACTGTGGTGTACTAACTAAAAGATGCAAATAAATACGAATATTCAATTATTCAATTATCAAAATGTAACTGATTGTATTCCAATTATAATAAAGAATTGAATTGTTTTATATAATTTACCATTTGTCAAATTTGCTAAAGGCCTTCGAATTTCTTTGTCTTCCAGCCGTGTAACTTCCACGACGGTTGATCGCGATGTACTTGGTTCAATATAATTTTGGCAAACTATTATGAAAAATAAAAACAACAAAGCTATTAGAATAACTTATATTAGAGAGATATAATATAAAATATTTAATATACTATACACAGTTAACCAAGACCATGAATGCATTTTAAAAGTGTATAACTTTGACTTGAAAAGAAATGATTGTTGGTAAGAATTACTAACGGAAAGTCAACCAAAAATAAAAAGTTAAAAAAGTACAAAAAAGATTATATCGTTTTAGAATTAGAATTGCTCATACCATTGCTAGAGTTGAGATTTTGCGGTGGAAGCCCATTACGATGTCCCTGAGTTACACGCTTCTTATTTTGAGTTGCTGAATTAATGCATGTAAGTTGAGATCTAAAGCTTGTAGACTGTACTGGGATTGAATAGTCTACAAAAAGATTGTAATAATTTAAAGAACCAATAAGTTGAATCTAAAAAAAAAAATACAACCTACCATAAAAACGATATAAATTTGGTCGATGTTAATAAAAATTGATATATGTGAAAACAATTACACAAACACAAAAATTCGAGAGAAATCATTTTACCAGGCAACACGGGCGTTGTGGGTGTGTTCAATGTTACATTTTCCGGCGAATCATTTTCTGTAAAAAAAAAAAAATACAGAAATTGTAACCAATTAAACAATTTATAATAATATAATTATTTATACGCCACTTATTGAAACAAAAGTATATGAATGTATGTATTACTTTAAACAAATATAACAAAAATATAAACCATATTTATAATTATAAAACAATTTAAATATTAATATAAAAAATTAAATACATGTTCAATTTTACATACTATTAATGTCACTAAGTTATACTTTTAATTTACATTTTTTCAAGATCATTCATTTATTTAAAAAGAGAATCTATACTGACAGTAATAAATAATATTAATAGAGTATATAATAAATAATATTAAATAAAATAAACCGAGTATATAATAAATCCTACTAACACTAATAATAACAAATCCTACTATATAATATAATCCTACTATATAATAATAACAATATAACAATAGTCTAAATAATAATAATAATAATAATAATAATAATAGTCTTAAAATAATTACACTAAAATCCTACTATATACCCATTTACTAAACCCTCTACCCAGCCCATAACTCCCTACGGCCCACCCATCAAAACCCACCCCAGCCGACCGACTCCCCAAACATACTCTCCCTCATCCCCTCTCATCCTCGCTCTGTGGTCTCCGATCCAACATCCGTCTTCTTCGCGTTTTGGTTTCGATTGCCTAATCGCGACGACCGGATATGGAAATCGAAGCCATGAGGGACCTTAACTCACTAAATCCCCATTTTCAAAGCTCTATACACGAAAAGCTTTGATCGTGTAAGTTTTATCGGACTAATCGAAACCCTAAACCGAGATATTGTTCGCCAAATTAGTTCCGATATCCTTGCTAGTTTTGTTGATTACTTCTAGCTTGTTATTCGAAACCCAGAAAACATATGAAAAAAGCCAAAAATTGAAACCCTAAAGCGGTAGAAATTCCGTCGAAGGAGTTCTTATGTTTATGGAAATCTAAGCCTAAACTGGGTTTAATTCTGTCAGAAGCAACGGCGTCCTCACATGCCAAAGATAAGGAAAAAACAGCCTTTCTTAAGATAAGTACATTTTGCCGATTTTTTTTTTTTTGTTCTTAATATATTATTTGTCTATATGAGTATAAATATCACGTTATCATTTGCATAAACATTATGATAGTTCTTAGTTTATAATCAAATACTGTTACAACGTTTCTTAACTGCAAGATTTCGAAATCATTCTATTAATTTCATTATTATTATTATGCTAATACTAATTTTTACCATTGAACTAAATAAACTGTTCTCTAATTGTGATTAAACAGGTTGTACTTATAGATCTAATTATATAAGCAAGATGGAGTAGCATGCAGATTCTAAATCTCCCACCAAAAGCAATGATGTAATACAAATAAGAGTATGAAAGTAATACAGGTTTGAAATTTTATTTAAAGTACCTTGGTTAGATAGTGTGTTCTTCCTTTTTGCGCCGATGATTATTGATGAAGTTAATTTCCGCATTGTTTTAGACTGAGTATGTTTGGATAGTGTGTTTGTGTAAGTGGTGATTTTAGGTGAATGTTAAATTTGTCCAGTGATCTCATCAATTTGAATCTGAGAATGTCTAATTTCAAAGTATAATTACAAAGCATTGGGATTTGGTTAAAACTAATGATTACTGTAATTGGGAAGTATAAAAGCCATAGTCCATCAGTTATTCAATTTTACATTTGTATATGTCTATTTTGTGGATTTCAAAATTGATTACAACTGCCATCTAATTGACTACATTTGTAAATCTGTTTGTTTTTATTTATATGTTAGGATTTTGGCTTTAGCAAATGAACTATGTTATTCAATTTTTTTTTTTATTGTAGTTCAATTCTAACATGATTTTTTGAGAAACTGGCAAATGATGATATTACTTTCTGATGCCACTTATGAAATTACTTAAGATGTTGTAGAATTTGTAGTTTAATATTAGTGATTTGGAATGAGGACTGAATCAGAAGAGATGAAAGAAAGATTGAAGAAGACCAGGGAAGTCATGATTGTACCTGTTTTTGTAATACTGTCCGATTGCCGTTTACTGGAAATTTCCATTTTCAAATGTAATATTATATATTTTGAAACATATGTGAATGAATTTGAAAATACTTGAGATTGAAGAGTGTGTTCTATTATTTTCTTTAATCTTTTCTTTAAAAGCCAAACATTCTAGGTTATAGTTTTTGTAAGCATCTAAGGAGTGAGTACAGAATGATATATTAACAGCATATCTTTCAAATTATCTAGCTTTAAAGTACAGGAAAAGGACCGAAATAAATAGTGAGTATAGTGAATTGATTCAAAAAAAACTCATTAGTTGGTGTGTAAAGCTGTAAAAGACAGATTTGTAATGGTAAAGTGAATAACATTACAAAAAAATTTAAAAGAAATGTCTACAACTTTTTTTGTTTAATACCACAGCCTTAGCCTTCTTCAACATACTACTGGGTGATAATTGATCAAAAATACATCACATTGTAGAACCGGATTCAATTTGTTGATGTGTCTAATCAGTTGTAAACTTTTTAAATGTTTCCAGACATGGACTGCTGGAATCTTAAACAGATTCAGTATCCTATGCTGAAAAAAAAGCCATTACAAAATAAAGGTGTTGAAAATAAAGACTTTGTCCTTTTCAAAAAGAGGTGGCTGCTTAAATTTTTTTCAGTTGGAATTATTGTGGGAGAAGTAAAGAAATCTGTGATTCTTGGAAGAAATTCCAGGAAGCCTAGCCTTAGGAGCAGCCAGCTAGCTAGTAGAGTTATAGCTTTCTCTCTAGGAAATGGGGCATTGGGGAAAAATTAATCTGTACTTTCAAAATTGTTGTTTTTGTTTCTTTGTAAACTTGTTATATACAGTTACAATCTTGATTTGACTACAAATGTAAAGGACTTCATTTAGTTGCCAGCTCCAAACACAAAAAAATGATTTACTTCTTCTTGTAGCAAAGTATTTTATAGTTTAATAATTAATATGTATTAAAATACATATATGCAATTGTTTTATTTGTGAGTACATTTGATTAGTGTCTAAGTTTCAAAAAATATAAAGATCAAAATGACCAAATGTAGTGGCAAACTGTTTATAATTTGTAGCATTATTCACAACCGAAAGCCTTTGAATAATTATAAGATATAATATGTTATTTCTACTAACAGTCTGTGATGTACAAAGTGATAGTTGAGGTAATACAATTGTCAACAAAGTACATTACTGTATGGATCTAGCATATTTAATTACTATATCTAAATCTCATGCTAATCTGATGGATAGACAACTGAAAGATGATTTGTGGACTGCTTGATCTTGTACTTTTGCATGAAATCTGCTTGACATCTGTGTTTTCTTACCTGCAAAATGTTAGGCAATACACAAATAACAATAACAAAGAGCAGCTAAACTATTTTTAAAACATAAAATTTAAAGCAAATGATTAGGTTCTAAAATGATCCAAAACATATAATATGTACTTCACAGTACATATTATCAAAATAGGTTTAGAAAATACATCAAATCCATACAACTAAACCACTATGCAGTGAAAATTGTCCATCATTAAACCCTTAAAACAGAGAGTTAGCAATTAAGGTCTTTCACTTTCAATTCTTCTCCAGTTTGACGACAACAGGCTTTGATTTCTTAACATCTTTAGTTGAGGAGAATTGATCAATCAGGTTTCTTTTAGTTTCTGCTACTTCCAGTGCTTGATTATTTTCAGCAGTCCTTTGCTTCTTAGTTTGAGTCACATTTGGGCTACTGGCCTCATCTCCAGATTCAGATTCCTGTTTAAGAAATAAGTATACTTAAGTCAATGTTGTTTTGGTTCAATGTAAGACCATTAGTTTAGTGCTTACTTCAGACTGTCCATCTTGGTCATCTTCATCAAGCATGATGGATAGGTGGTCCTGATCATCAACCAAAGATGGACAGTAATGGTGAACTAATTCGGCATCATAGGTTATCCCGACAACTGGTATAGGCATGGCTCGGTTCTTGAAATGATCGGCTTTAGCAGAAACCTTAAAAACCATTGCTTTGTTACGAACCTCTTCCATACCAGTTGGTAGTGGAGAGCCATCCTGGAAAAATGTTTTTAAATAACCAAGAGTTAAGTAGCAAATATATGTATAGATTATATATATATAAATTTCAATTTGATTGCAAATTTATTTACCATTGAGTATTTGGTCCGGAGATCGTAGGCAGTCTTCCCAGCTATTTCACAGCCCTCCTTGTCCCATAAGAGGAATGGAGCATCAGTTGTCTTGTCACCTACCCTAACAACCAGCTTGTATCTTAAGGTACCCTCTTGCCACTTTGCACGACATGTTTGACATTGCAGACTTCCATCCTCCATGTTCAGCTTCTTAAAGCAGCCATCCGATCTACAGGAATGGTAATACCAATTCCTGGTACTCTCAACGGACACAATCCTTGCAGGTACCCAATAGTATCCTTCCTGTTAGATTAAAAATTTTAGTTAATGGTTAAGTTATGATTTAAACTAAAGAGTAGATCTAAAATTAGGTAAAATAGTACCCCTGCTCTTTCATAAAGATCCTTGATAGTGGTAACTACCATTGGAGACTTAGAATTTTCTGCACTATTGACATAAGACATCACAGACAAACTCTGTATGCTTCTTGGTGGGCTGTGAGCAACCTTCAAACTGAATAAAAGTAGAGATTTACAATTTAGTAAGAATTTATTTAAGATAGGTGATTAGTGAAAGAAATGAAGTTGCATTACCTATCTTTGAACTCCTTAAATTCCTTGCAATCATGATTGAACCATATTTGTGTAGCATTGTAGGAACTGGAAAGTCTGACTTCATCTACAAAATGGGAAAAGGGTAACTTAAAATCAGAACAAAGAATAAAAGTATATATGAAAAAAAAAATATACTGCACTTACTGTCCAATTGTTTTGCTCGACAAAGTTGCAGCAAAATAATCAAAGGACCTTCAACATGGTTCTTGAAATAATCGATGACAGTATCCACATGGTGATCCCACACTGTACACTTAATACGACATCCCCTAAAATTGAGATAAATTAAGCTGTAATCAGATACAATTATTACTCAAAATCAGAAAACCTTACTCTTATGTGTATTATTTGTTTTATTATGCATTTTATAGAGTATGTGTTTGAATTGAGTAATGAAAAATGTTTTTTAAGCTAAGATGTTTTTTTAATTTTTTTTTTTTTTACTTTGATAAATAAGTGAAGTATGATTAGTAATTGTTTTTGTACAGAAATCACAGTTGGGCCAAAAAAATAAAAAGGTTGAATTGCTAATATGGAAAACAGCAGATTGGATTATCAAGAACATATTTTGACCTGTGAAAAATCAAGAAAATCAGATAAGTTTTTTATATACTAAAGTCTATTAATTTTTTTTTTTTGTTCAGTAATTATGAATGTTTTAATTAAATACTATGTGTTTTACTTGATTAATACAGTGAAACAAAGCTAAAAGAGCACTGTAACTAAGCCAAACATTCAAAGATGGGCTTGTAATGAAGAACCGAAGATTGGAGCATAGCAGAATCAAGCTAAGTTTTATACTGTATGTCTATTATTGAAATCTTTTTAAGTATTTATTATTGGTTTAATTAAATCCTAATTTTTTTTAGTTGATTACTACAGTGGAGAAAATCTAAAAGAGGACTGGAACTAAGCCTAAAATTCAAAGATGGCTTATCATGAAGAACAGAAGATTGAAACATTAGAGTTAAAGATAAGTTGTATACTCTATGTCTACTTTTTTTTTTTCCAGTATTTATGAATGTTCTCCTTAAGGCCTATTAAATTAAAATAGAGCATGTTAAATCCTACTATATATAACAGAAAAGCAGTACTGTAACTATTGAAATATTATTAGGATTATTAGAATCTCAGTATGTTTAAATAGGGAATTAAGGATTGACTACTATACTTCCAACTGAAAAAGTAGGTAATAAGTAGAAAGGAAACTTACTGGCCATCTTCAATAAGAAAATCGAGAAGTTTGGAAGGAAAACCAGCTATGGTGAGTTGTTTAGGACTGTAGAACTCCACAACTATTCCAATGACATCTATAATGAAAATAAGGCCATTAAAAAAGAATAAATTAGAAAAATAAAACATAGTAAATATAAGATAGAGAAAAGAAATAATAGAAAATATATAAATCATACCAATCAAATGCTTGTCAGACACACTACCAGACATTAAGTCTGAAAAAGACTTAATCCGAAACATGAGGTTGGGAAATCCCTTTCGCCTATGTCTCTCCACATGAGTTTCATGAGTGAATCTAATCATGTATGTGTGATCAGTGGTTTTGTACTGATAGTAGTGTGAGATTACTGCAAAATCCTTTATAGCATAAACCTTGCCTTCTTTCAACAGTTTAGAAAACTGATCGACACAATCTTTTGGAATATTCCCATGAACATATGTGCCCTAAAAAGACAGAAATAATTGTTTGGTTTAACATTTTTGTAATTAAGATTTTCAGTTGTACTGGAAAAAAATAGATTACCTCACTGTCATGAAACAAACATTCTTGGCTTTTGATTGCTTCTGAATTTCTCCCTTCTGGTACATTATAGGTTCGAACCAGTCTTAATCTTATTGCCTTTTTGTATGTAGATATCCTCAGGTCTTTACCTAGAATGTAGAGTGGAGCCATTGGCAGATTTTCAGAAACAGCAAATTTGAAAGAAAAGTGAATCAAACGTAGCTTCAAAATGAGAATGGTGGTAGAGAATGAAGATGTCGTACCAAGTTTTTATAGAGCCAAGTTTTGAAGGCTGAGATCAAACCACCTTTACGCACGTTTGCAGATGCATTATGATGATATCTGGGAAGAAGAAACAACACATATGGAAAGCTGCAAAAAATTTGAATTCATATATATATTTATGGATAGCCGTAGCTTATATATGTAATATATCTCTAATATGTATGTATTCGATGAAGATTTTTACATATAACCATATGCTTTGTTAGTAGCATTTAAGTCATCGACGGCTGAACAGATTCCAAGTGAATTGGGACTCCAAAAGGGGTTCTAAATATAGCTTTAGTTTTCAATTCCAATACAAACACAATTATTTGTTGCAGTTAGTATTTATTATTTATATGTATAATAAAATTGATTCGAAAAAATAGGCAACAAATTAGCCATAAAGAAAACGGCAGCGTTTTCACTGGGCGGGAATTTGCAGCAATTTGATTGGCCAAGATCTTATGGCTTTATTATATAGTAGGATTGTCTTGATTTTTTATTTTTGTATTTTTAAAATATTTATTCCCATTATAAAATCATAAATAACCAAACAACAATATTAGTAATCATTCTAATTCCACCCTACTACCAAACATGCAAAATACTTTTATCAAAACACATTACAATTACAAGTATTTGATTCCGATTCCGATTCCGATTCTCATGTTGGAACCAAACATACCATAATTCTTGTTATTATCAACTCCCTTGATAGATGATGATGTAAATTCATTGTAAACCAGTTCCTAGTTTTGCTATATATTTTGATCCTGGCAATTAGGCAATGGTGATTTTATTTTTTATTTTGTTGTGTAATGAGGGAAATCCACCGTACCCCTACTAATTGAAGGTATATATTGTGTAAGTTCCATGCTTTTATGTAATAGCTTACAAATTATACTGGAGATGGTGATTTTAATATTTTATTAGTAGAAATGTACCATTTTCTTTCAGTAGACTTTACTACCAAATGTTATAAATAGATACTATATTGTAAAAGAATCAGTAGTACAAAAAAAATAAAAATAAAAAAGAATTGTTAATGCTCCCATCAATAATTGACGAAGAGAAAATACTATTTTGAATAAATATAATAACAAAGAGTACATATATTATTGGTTGAATTATTGAAGCAAAGCTTAATTTATTGGAATTAGCAAAAAGTTTTGCTGTATAGTGCTATTGAGTCAACCCCAAATGCAACGTCAAAATGAAGGTGCTAATCATGATTTAGGATTAAATAATGATTTGAGTAGGTGGTCACTTGACAGTCAATATCAGCAATTGTTTGACTTGTGGAATGGCAGTATAGTCCACCTTTGTTTGGTAGAAATGATAATCATAGTAAATTGAATTAATGCAGTTTTAAGAAAAGGTATTTATTTGACTTTCATTTTCTTATTCAGGTGTTTTTGTCTTTTCATTAGGTTAGAGTGACAAAAGTATTCAATTAAACTCATACATTATAAATAGCTATAAGACCACATAAACCATTTGACAAATCAAAAAAGTACAATTATGTTATTCAACCTTTTAAAAAAATTCAAATATGCCATTAAATTCTACAAAAAATATATATATATATATATAATTGAGCCACTTTGACATATTTTTATAAATAAACAAAGGTTGCTATGACAACCAAGGTTTTTTTTTTTTTTTTTTTTTTTCTAATAAGAATAATTATAAGTTTTTATTTGTAATAATAATATTAATATGCTAGGTAGGCATATATCAATTATAGAACAAGTTTACAATGCCGTAAATTAAAATGTGATGTATTTTCTAAAGTTGTACGAACTTGTATTTTAGAGTTATACTTCCACCCCTTCTTATATACATTTGACAAAACACAATATACAACTTTATAAATATATATATAGTAAGTTTTAACATGCTAGAAGAATCAAGTACTGACCCTCCACTTGTTCTCTTTGATTCTTTTTGTAGGGTTCAAAGTGTAACTTTAATTTGATTATAAATTGCAACTCCTTTGATATAGTAATTCTACAATTTAATTTTATCTTCCCATCTCCAATTAAAGTTAAAAAAAAAAAAAAAAAAAAAAAAAAAAAACAAGAGCCTCAAAAAGAATGATCGAATAGGATAGGGATGTCAATGAAGACCGCCTCACCGCGGACATTTTTATTCACGTGCCTTTGCGGGCTGGCCCGCAAACTAGGATCATGCAACCCTAGTCCACCTCATATGGGCTCGTAGGCTTCGTAGGTCAACTCGCAGACCAACTTCTAAATTTAAAAAAAAATTATTATACTATAATTCTATATTCTAATAATTTAAACATATATATATATATATATATATATATATATATATATGTGTGTGTGTGTGTGTGTGTGTGTGTGTGTGTGTTAGTGTGTGTGTGAAGCCCGCGAGTTGGCCCTTGGCCCGCATTTTTGCAGGCCAAAATTTCTAGGCCCTAACCTGCCCCACTGCAGGTGGTTTAGAGTTGGCCCGCAAGCTTCGGCCTTCCTTTACACCTCTGGCAAATTATATCGTGCACCGTCGTGCATAATCGATTATGCACCGAGCTTCAAAACGACGTCGTTTTGTTTAATGAAAAGAAACGAACCCGTTTTGCGCCGTTCTGCAAAAAGTAACTCTGTTATTCAGTTTCATTTTGTATACACTACAGTTTCAGTTCAACACAACTACAATTTCATTTCGATATAACTACAGTTTAATTCGACATTTATACACTCAAATATGTGAAAATGTTATTTAATTTTATTTTATATACACTATAGTTTTATTAAAACACAACTACATAACTGAATTCAAGTAGTGCTAAGTGGCGAAAGCAGGCAAAAGCACTGCCAACACCAATGTTAGAGATATTACGGGTGGTAATAAATTATATATAGGTTGGAGGGTATACTTCCCTGGCATATGACCTATGGACCCATTTATGCATTGAAGTGCAGGAACTTAATAGGATAACTTAATGGAAGACTTAGGGATAGTGGTTTTTGGAGAAGAATCGAATGGGCCTATCATCCCCATATTAGCGGGTGCTGGAATTAATCTTAAAAGAGAGTTTTTTAGTTTAAGAAAATGTTCTTACACTGTTGTTCAAGTCGATTCTATCATATTATGGAATTTTGCATGCATGCGTACAATAAGACATCCTTTATTTCCTAACTAGTAGCTTCCTAATTTTATTTTCATTTATTATTTTAAATAAATGATATCTATTACTCCTCCCAATTAAAACTCTTTTGGCTTTTTATTTTCATCCTATTTATTTTTGAAAAAATATATATATTTTATTGTTCAATTATAAGTTTTACTATGACTACTCGAATTGTTACAAAATGAGTCTGAGGTTATTTATATTTATTCTACCTCCTAACGAACAATGGAGATCTAATTGATGGTATGGTTATGATTATATCTCTAAAATCCACCCTAAAATTCTATACAATCATATGAGTTTTATAATGTTTTATAAGATTCTATGAATCTTTTCAATCCAAAGTGTTAAATTTGAAAAGAAATTTCAATTTTGGTCCTATAAGTCTATAACTATGGGGGTCTTATTAATTTAGTACCTTGGCTATGTAATTTTTGTCAATTTTGGTCACTCCAATCAAATTGCCTGTCAAATTTCACCAAAAAATTTTTATTGGTCAAATAATAAGGGTATTTTAGTCATTTCTTTTCTCTTACATTTGAACATATAAATATGACATTTACGCATATAAATATAACATTTACATGTTAATCTAACATGATCTGACTTGTTTCACAAATAAAAATTCGTAAAATAATCTCACACAAGTGTGACTCATTAATCATAAATATGATTTGGACAAGACAGGGAGTGTAATAAGATTCTTTACGCAACACTTTGCCTACAAAAAACTAACACACAAAGAATACGTAGACGTCCACTTAGCTTGCCGGTTTCTGCATGACCAAATCAGTCATGGAACGTGTTTGGGAATTGGGAGTTGAGATCATTGGGAACAACGCGGAAGTTACGTACTACACACAAAACCTGACTGCCACAAACATATCTGAAGTTGACAACAGCTAAGCCTAAAACTCCAAAGCCTCCATACCTCTTAGTCAGTACACTTCACCCCTATAATAGAAATAAAAATATTACATGTATTTTCATTTTTTACTCAACTTTTATTTTTAATCTCAAATTCTTAATTTAAACACTTTTCTGGAGATTTACATGATGAAAATAACATATTATTGATTGTTACATCAGAGGGTAAAAGTAATAAAGTAAAATTTGAGAGTGTATATGATAGAATTCTATTAGAAATATTTTCTTTTGCATGCTCGGGTTTGTCAAAAAAAAAAAAGAAGAAGAGAAAGTATTTGAATTTTGGCCATTAATTGGTTAGACTACGCATATATGTCTCAAGTGTCACCCGATGTTGCACATTTAGTTCCACTACTCTGGCTATGGCTCAGCCATGAATCGTAATTGAAGCAAAGCAAAGTGGTAAAGCTAAAAGCCCACAACCACATCGGTGATTTTTGGGTGAGTTTTTGCAGAGTACGTGTGGCACATTGCAAGCGCCAACTAGGCACGTAAATCTACTTTTATTTATTTATTTTACTTTAATTTTGTTGTCAATTTTTTTTCCTTTATTTTCTTCCTCTCTCTTCCTTACATGTCACTTCAAAAATCACCAAAAAAAAAAAAAAAAAAAAAAAAAAAAAAAAAAAAAACTTGTGTGGTTGAGATTGCTAGGATGCATGGAGTACGAACCTGGGAAGAGAGGGCGTTTGTTTAATTTCAATTTTGCTAAAAAAAGGCAAGTGTTAGTTCAAGAAAAGTGACTTTCCAAACTTCAAAATTTGCCATTTTCATGAAACACATTTTCAATGTCTAGCTTAGCTAGCTCTTGTAGACATTTGCACCCAACTTCAATTCCGTCAGCTGATTGAACCATTCAAAAACTACAGTACTGCTCCCACCTCTCATCTGACGTTGTACCTATGTCTGCTAGACTTGTCGTCTCTTGAAATCTGCGGGCTTAAGTTTTAAAGAGAATAATATTAAAGAAAAGTAAGTACCATTGGCTATTAATATAATCATATCATCAACTGGTTAATACAAAGTGCCGCATAGTTACGCTTCAAATTAATCCACAATTATATCTAAGGCTTGGGAACTAGCATAATCTGTCAAGAATGATGTGTATTCATAGGAATCTGATATGGAACTCGAATATTGATCCATTTCTATAATTGGTTCAGAAAGGAAAGTGTTGTCAGGTGGCATTTGCAGCAGCTCAAGATCGCCTTCAAGCATTTCGACCACCCTACTCATTGAGGGTCTTTGAGTTG